ATGAGCAGCAGATTGTTGGATGGCCTCAAGATTATGGGGCGTTGAATGTGGCGTGTGTTATGGCGGTTAGGTCCAGAGGTGGTAATGGAGCAAGAGAGAATTTTAGCAGCAGAAGAAATGAGACTAGTGCGGATTGGGTGACCTGGTGATGATGCAGATATGTGATTAGGATCTTAAATTTGGGGTGGAACGTGACTCCGACGTTGTGAACAGTCCAGTTCCGCCTCAGACTGTCGCCAGGGAGAGGAATGGAGTTGCTTCTTGGGGATCATAATTGGGCTGAAGGTGATGGCTTTGGTCTTTCCAATATTGAACTGCAAAAGATTTCTGGATGTCAGACCAGTCAGGATGGTGTGAGAGTGGGAGAAGTAATCAGATCTGATGGTGTTCGCATACACCAACAACTGTGATCCTTCTTGGAGCTCAAGGTAGACACAGAAAATGTCTCGTCTTCTTTCGTCTCCTGGCTTTCTCTCTCCCTGCTCCTTTGTCCGGCTTTCCCACCTTGCACTCCTCCTGCATTTCACAATTCCTTTCTCGCCTGCACACTCTTTCTGCACTGTCTCCCTCTGGCCCTGACTTACCTTTTCTTGCCATTCTCCAAAACTCTATCTCTTCCTTTCCCCCTCTCTTCCCCACCTTTCCCTTTCTTTATCCTTTCTCGTAGAGTCATACAGCACGGAAACAGACCTAACTCGTCCATGCTGACCAGGTTCCCCAAACTAAATTAGTCCTACTTGCCTGCATTTGGCCCATATCCCTCTAAACTCTTCCTATCCGTATATCTGCACCCATGTCTTTTACATGTTGCAATTGTAACCACCTCTACCACTTCCTCTGGCAGCTCGTTCCACACACACACACCACCCTCTGCACAAAAAAGTTGCCCCTCAGGTTCCTTTTAAACCTTTCCCTGCTTGCCTGAAACCTATACCCTCTGGTTTTGAACTCGTCTAGCCTAAGAAAAAGACTTTTGCTATTCACCTTATCTATCCCTCTCATGATTTTATAAACCTCTATAAGGTCAGCCCTCAACCTCCTACACTCTGGCCTGTCTAACCTGTCCTTATAACTCAAACCCTTCAGTCCTGGTAACGTCCTTGTAACTCTTTTTTGCACTCTCTCCAAGTTTAATAATATCCTTCCCACAGCAGGGTGACCAGGATTGTACGCAGTCCTCTCAATCTCTTTCCACAGAGGCCAGATTCTTGTGGAGGTCCAGATTGGGTTGCAGGTTCCCTTCCCTGATGGACATCAGTGAACCAGACGCGATTTTCCAATAATCCAGCAGATTTTACGGTCGCTTCCTCCCAGTGGTGACCCTACAATAACCGAATTGATTCAATTCAATTTCACACCCTATAGGCCTCACTCTTGTTTTTCCTGTTTGACATCAACTTCCCAGGCAATGAGAAGGGGAGACTTCGCCGATTGTAGACTCAAGCTAAACTTCACAACGGGATCTGACGGAGTCGCCCATTCTATTGTAACCTGACTGTCACTGGGCTTTGGGCATGGAGGGAGAAAGCACCATTCACAGTGGGGAGAAACTCTACGCTTGTCGTGTGTGTGGACAAGGCTTCAGCCAATCGGCTGAGCTCAAGAGGCACCAGTGCAGTCGCCCTGCGGAGAAACTGTGGAAGTGCGGTGATTGCGGAGCCGGGTTCCGCTGCTCGTCGGAACGGGAAGCCCATCGGCGCACTCACACCGGGGAGAGACCGTTCACCTGCTCCGAGTGCGGGAAGGGATTCACTCGAACGTCCACACTGCTGAGACACCAGCGGGTTCACACGGCAGAGAGGCCTTTCAGATGCCCACACTGCGGCAAGTGCTTCAAGAGTTCCGGGGAGCTGATCTTCCACCAGCGCGCTCACACCGACGAGAGGCCCTTTAAATGTCCAGAGTGCGGCAAGTGCTACAAAAGTTCAAGCAACCTGATGTCCCATCAACGTCTGCACGGAGATGAGAGACCTTTTGCCTGCCCGGACTGCGGGAAGTGCTTTAAAAGTTCCAGCACGCTTGTGTCCCACAAACGCGTTCACACCAATGAGAGGCCTTTCGAATGCACAGATTGTGTGAAGAGTTTTAAAAGTTCCAGGGAACTGACCCGCCATCAACTTGTTCATACTGAGGAGAGACCTTTTAAATGCCCGGACTGTGGGAACTGCTATAAAAGTACCAGCAATCTGTTGTCCCACCAGCGTGTTCACTCAGAAGAGAGACCCTTTAAGTGCCCAGAGTGCGGGAAATGCTTTAAGAGTTCGAGGGATCTGATGTCCCACCGGCGTGTTCACTCTGATGAGAGACCCTACAAATGCTCAGACTGTGGGAAGCGCTTTAAGAGCTCAGGGGAGCTGATACTCCACCAGCGTGCTCACACCAATGAGAGGCCATTCCGGTGCTCTCACTGTGGGAATGGTTTCAGGCGATCGTCTCAACTCACAACGCACCGGCGAGTTCACACTGGGGAGAGGCCGTTCGTCTGCTCTGAGTGCGGGATGGGATTCACACGCACAGCTTACCTACTGAGACATCAGCAAGTTCACAAGTGACTGCATCCATCTAAATTTGCTGTTAAACGCATCCAGAATGCCACCGTGTTTGTTGGGTCTCTTTCTCCTGATGCTAATAAATGCCAGTCCGGTTTTAGATGTTACCATTCTGAACAAGAGTCAAATAAATCAGCATTGAGGGAGCTGGACCAAATGCTGGCAAATGGGACTAGATTAATTTTGGATATCTGGTATTTGGCCCATAATCCCTCTAAACCCTTCCTATTCATGTACCCATCCAGATGCCTTTTAAATGCTAAAATTGTACCAGCCTCCACCACTTCCTCTGGCAGGTCATTCCATACACACACACCCTCTGCGTGCAAAAGGTACCCCTTAGGTCTCTTTCAAATCTTTTCCCCTCTCACTTTAAAACCTATGCCCTCTAGTTTTGGACTCCCCTACCTTGGGGAAAAAGACCTTGGCTATTCACCATATGCATTCTCCTAATGATTTTATAAATCTCTATAAAGGTCACCCCTTGGCCTCCAATGCTCCAGGGGGAAAAAAATGCCTAATGGATTAATGGCATGATGAGGAAAAGTACTTTTGCACAGCAAATGGTGAGGATCTGAAATCTGCTGCCAGAGAGCGTGATGGAGGCATGTTAGGAAGATGCTCCCACACTGTTGTGCCCTGCATTCAGCCATTGTCAAGTGATTTATCCACAGATTGCAAGTGTCAGTTGTATTGTCATTTTATTAATCATGCATATATTAATGTTTTACAATATCTAGTGCCACTTGAAAGCGTCACAGAGATTAAATTCAGGACGGCATTGAAAAGCAACATCATCTACTGAGGATGGAAGAAATTCCTGATTGAAACACTTCAATCTTTAAGATTGTATTTTTAAAAACGAGAAAATTATTTCCAGTCCTGCTGCCTTGCCTCGTGACAATAGCATTTGCAGTCTCAGTGAGACACTGTTTTCGAAGTGTGGGTCATGACTCCCTGCCATGCAGGATTGAGAGAGAAATTTTCTGAGTTACTGGCTCCCAGGGAGCAGCTCGGATTATTGGGCTGATGGCTGTGAGACCCCTTTAAGTCCTTCCCTTATTTTCTTGCTGGATGAGGACCGACTGCTCTCTGAGGCTCACTGGCTGATGCAAAAACGAAGCTTGTGAAAAGGAAAAGGCATTTGTTTCTTGTTTTAGAAATTCAATTTCTTCAATAGTCAGGATCATCTTGCATCAACAACCAGCTTTGTAATGATTTCATTAGGATTTAGTTTCATTCATAGTCAGAATCCTATTGTATCAGGAAGGAGGATCCTGTCACACCAATGCTGGGAATCTGATTACATTGAGTGTGAACATAATTGGAAGCTGATTATCAGAGTTCAATTACTTTAAGATTCAGGAGACTGTCACATTAATAAAATCCCATTTGTATTAACAGTCTGGTGTCAACTGCAGCAACAATCGGGATGTTATTGTGTAAGTAGTGTGTTCTATTAATAATCATGATTCTATGATATTAATGATAGGATCCAATTATTTCAACAGCTCCAGTTGCAATCATCAGTTGTCTCCTCCTTTACTATGCAAGAAGTGGATGTTCAAAAAGTCAGAATTATTTCTCTTAATATTCAGTGCTCTATTACACAGTCATACAGCACGGTAACAGACCCTTCAGTCCAACCAGTCCACGCCGACCATAATCCCAAACTAAACCAGTCTCACCTCCCTGCTCCTGGCCCATATCCTGCCAGACATTTCTTATTCATGTACTTATGAGTGTCTTTTTAATGTTGTAACTGTGCCCGCATCCACCACTTCCTCGGGAAGTTCTTTCCACCCACGAACTACTTCCAAACTTTGTCAGTACGAATGTGGATTGATGAAGATTTTTATTGATGTTCCTGTAAAATACTTTGCATTTTATGTTCCTTGATAATTTCAGAATGGAGGTGGAGCTTCTCAAAATGAACACCACGAAAATAAGTGACATTTCCAGGATATTTAACTCCAGCTTGGCACAGGGTTGTGTACGTCAGCAGAAACAAACCCGATATTGTCAGACTGTCACAAGCTATCACAGAAGATTAAGCCACTCGGCCCATCGAGTCTGCTCTACCATTTGATCACAGGTGATATATTTCTCAACGCAATTCTCCTGCCTTCTCCCCGTAACCCTTGATGCCCTTACCAATCAAGAACCTATATATCTCTGCCCGAAATACACTGAGTTCTGCAGATTCACCACCCTCTGGCTGAAGAAATTCTGCCTCACCTCAGCTCTAAAGGGTCATCCTTTCGCTGAGGCTGTGCTGTCGGGTCCTCGTCTCTCCTACTCCACATCCACTCATCCAGCCCTCTCAGTATTCTGTAAGTTTCAACGAGATTCTGTGTCCCCTCCCCCCAACTTATCCTTCTAAACTCCATAGAGTACAGACCCAGAGTCCTCAACCGCTGTTCACATAACAAGCCCTTCATTCCCAGGACTGTTCTTGTGAACCCCCTCTGCACCCCCTCCAAGGCCATCCTTCCTTAGATACTGGGCGCAAAACTGCTCACAGTGTTCCAAGTCCTTGGTGTGGCAGCAAAGAGAGAAGAACTCTACTATGAAGTCAATTGTTAACTTGTTTGTATCACAGGAGAGAATGTCTTCCCGAACTCTGAATATATACATGGCCTCCCTCCAGTGTGACGTCACTGGTGTGTTAGCAAGTTAGATGACTGAGGAAATCCCTTCTGTTTCTCAAGCAGGTGAGCAGCCTGTCCCCAGTGTGAACTCACTCTTGTGCCAGCAACAGGGTAACTGAGTGAATCCATTTCCTCACTCTAAACTGGCAAATGACCTCTCCCCGCTGTGAGCACACTGGTGCGTCAACAGACTGCATAGCTGAGTGAAGCTCTGCTCGCACATGGAGCAGGTGAATGGCCTCTCCTCGGTGTGAACTCGCCGGTGTGTCAACAGGCTGGATGACTGAGGGAATCCCTTCCCACACGCAGAGCAGGTGAATGGCCTTTCCCCGGTGTGAACACGCTTGTGCACACTGAGATTGGATGCCGAACAGAACTGCGTTCCGCAGGAAGTGCAGCTGAATGGCTTTTCCTTGGTGTGACCAAAGGCCAGATGAATGATTGAATCCATAGCCACACACAGTGCAAGTGAACGGTCTGTCCCCTGTGTGGACCTGCAGATGCACCACGAGTTCGGGACGCTGCCGGAACCTCTTCCCACAGGAAGTGCAGCTGAACAGTCTCTCCTCCAAGTGAATTCTCTGGTGCGACACGAGGCTCCCCAATTGAAGCCCTTCCCACAGACGGAGCAGTTGAAGGGTCTCTCCCTAGTGTGAAGCCGCCGGTGTGTGGTGAAATTGTTCAAATACCTGAACCACTTGCCACAGGAAGTGCAGCTGAACGGCCTCTCCTTGGTGTGAATCTGCTGGTGTAACTTGAGGCTGGAAGATTGAGTGAATCCCTTCCCACACTGCACAGGAGAATGGTCTCTCCCCAGTGTAATTGGGTTGATGGGTTTCCAGCATGGATGGATACTTGAATCCCTTCCCACAGTCATCACATTTCCAAGGTTTCTCTACGTTGTGGATGATTAGTTGAAGCCTTATCCATACAGAGTACGTGTATTTGTCTCTGTAACAGGTTAAAGCTCTTTGCACATGAGGTTTACTGGAACACTCCCACTGAGATGTGTGTGTCTTGGTGCTTTTCCAGTTTACAATTTTTTCCACAGGCAGAACTGACAAATATTTCTCCTGTCATGTTAACCAAGTGACCATCAGATCTTGACATGAAGTTTGGTTCGATTTCTCAACAGTAAATTCACTCCTGGCCTTACCTAAAGATGATGACAAAACTCTTCACTGCAAATTCAGAATCGGCAGTTCAAGTTTTTTTCTGCCTACAGAGGTTTAAATCCCTATGCCACATGCACTCCCTCTTGCACTGACTGAATTCAGAAGCCACCTGTTCAAACCTCCTAAATGTGATTGAAAAGCCTCAAAGTTCCCGAATAGGTCAATGTGTAAAGATTGCTACGCCACCATTTAAAACAGCAATGAATGACGCTTTTGTTCTCAAGGGGCTCGAGTGTATTTGAGGCTGTCCTGTAGGTCGTGCCTCACAAACCTTATTGAGTTCTTTGAGAAGGTGACCAAACAGGTGGATGAGGGTAAAGCGGTTGATGTGGTGTATATGGATTTCAGTAAAGCGTTTGATAAGGTTCCCCATGGTAGGCTATTG